GCATCAATTAAAATAGCCTCCTTTCGCTACTTAAAGCCTATACGTCGAATTCACCAATAAAATATCAACAAATTTTGTTTAAAATTAATACGTTACTGTAAATTTTTGCTAAATAAATTTTATTAAATCAGTTGTATAGCTTTTTTCCTATTCAAATGAGTCAGCTATTACCCCTCGAACTTGTCGATAAATGTGTTGGTTCGCGCATTCACCTTATCATGCGGAATGATAAAGAAATCCTGGGAACACTTCATGGTTTTGACAGCTACGTAAATATGGTGTTATCAGACGTTACAGAATATGAATTTACAGCTCAAGGTAAAAAAATATCCAAGCTCTCCGCAATCCTACTCAATGGAAGCAATATAACCATGATGGTCCCTGGAGGAGAAGGACCTGATGTACAATAGACACTCAGAATAACTTTTTATTCCCTTAATGGATTCCAATTTATATCGACCGTTCGTATGTGTTTTATATTTTTGGTTTTACTTCCAAATAATGATCTGAAACCACCGTTGGCGTATAATCTCTTGAGCTCGGCAACGCTCTATGCGGTTCCCTATTAGGTTAACGATTTTAATTGTGAAAGACAAAACGTTTTGGTCGCTAGTGCTTGTATAATGTCGTAGTCGGTTTTATACCCATATCTATTTAACCTATTAGGCACGGATTTTATGCCTCAGAATATATTGCGAATAATTGTTTTTTATTACGAGTATTGGCTTGCTTATAAACAAATTGATCCTTTCTATTTTATGGCAGGAGCAGGTGTGATTATTTGCTTCATCTATTCTGACATACTAAATTTTCTTACCTTAATCAGTATGTAAGTCGATAAAACTTATTTATATTTCTGGATATGGTTTTAACCTTATTTATATGCGTATCCGTTTTCGTTTATTTATAAACCTGCTTCAAAATATGCATCATGTGTATAGATTACAAATAGATGTTTATTATTCTATTGGGAATGTTTTTTAATGCCCTATATATGTATTTATTTTGGATCAAATTGTTCGTTTAAGTTCATGAGATCTACTCTGCATAGCCCGAATTGAGAGTATTGAGAGTCAGATACTATCGATCCTCACCAAATGCAAAAAAGTCGTATTTTTCCTCCCACTTACATAGTTCAAATGCTGATGAGTCTTTTCTGCATGACTTGATTATTGCCTACACCAAGTAAGGTAAAAAAAAAGTACGACGATATCATCGTAGCCACTTCCCTTTCAAAGATTCAGATGCCATCGCATTTTTCCTAAATGACAACTTGCATTTTTCAATCTTAACAATGTTAGCTTTTTGCATTGCTAGCGGACTGAATTTTGATAGATTAATAAACACTAGCCAATAATGCACCACCAAACCTCATTAATGTGGAAATGACATTTAATAAGGACGGTCGACTTATGGTGATAACAGACCAGTCGTTGATTGCATTTTATTTAGCGCAACGTCTTTCTCATTTGACTAGCTTAAGATAATTCGCCCTGAATCCTGACTACACCGTCACTGAAATTGGCATTATATTGTTACTAAGTATCATCTGGGCGTTCAGCTGGGCTACCGATCCTTCGTTTATCCCCAATTTTTACGCACGTTCACGAGTTATCTACTTATATAACCTATTATAGCTGGCTCGGCAGGTCTCCCTCACATAGGCGCTATCATTGTCTAGAGAGAATGTCCGAATATTCCTCATAAGTCATATTTCAGGCCAGTGTTGATATCTTTGCATGTCTTCCTGATATTATACTTCCGTGGTAGATCTCTTTCTAAACTGACATGGTGACAACCTTAGGAACCTGGTGGATTGGTTCAGCCTTTTATCTTGTTCCAAAGAGAGGTCTCTTCACCGTTGCTTCTTATCGACGCCTTATTTTTATTCGAATTAAAGGTTATATTTCCCCGAACTGAGAAGTGGCCGCCAAAATGTGTCCACCTTCCTATCACTATACACTATTAGGTGATTTATTCCCGCCAATATAACACATAAGTATAGCTAACTGCTGGAGTAAACGAGATTTAGTGCTAAACCCCATAAAATATGACGCCTATTGACGTGATCTAAGACTTATTCTACTGATAATGAAGAAAGCCAATCTGCATTGAATTGGGCATGCATGGCCAGACTTACCATAGAATATTTTACGAAATGAAGAGATATGACATGCGTGCATTAATGCATTATATTAGATACCAACAAACGTTCGACAAAGCTGCACACGGGGCGGATAAGGCAATTAGAGATGTGAATAGACCTAATAAAAACTGTCCGAAATGGCGCACCTCTGGAGCAGGCAAGTAGGGTGATTGAATGTAGTGATATTGAAGACTGTATGGAGAGATGGAATGGGCGAATGCGCCAGGACAGGAGAAACTACCATTGTTAGATGCATAGTTCGTCGGTGGACGGATTACACGTCCTTTTAGAAGGCTACATCTGGATGCCAAAATTGGTAAGATTCACTGACTATGCTGGCGAAAATTCTGGGTGTGTTAAGTCCC